GATCAAGTTGACTGATGCACATGAGGACATCCTTCCATGATGACCTCAGAACGTTGCCTTCAGTCTGTCCGAGCTCAAGGATGACCTTAAGGGCCTCGACATTCTTGGTCATCATCTCCTGCGGGTTGTTCAGGTTGGTGGTATTCTTGAGCGCGGAAACAAAGGCCTCCCGCGGCGTTGAGAGGTCGAAAACGCATGCAATTTTTGTTGCAAGCTTCATTCCCTCAAGGCATAGCTTGTTAATCTCAAGATTATGCGTCTTCTGCATCTGGCTGGACAAGGCTGAGAAGTACGACATCCATGTGACATCGAACATGGGGCCGATATGTTGGAAAGAAGTAGCGGGAATGAACCTGACACCAGACCGCTGGGCGTTCCGTCTCTGGTTCTTGTAGAGAGTCTTGAAGAGCTGCTCTGACCGTAACGCAATCTCTTCCGACTGTTGTAGATAGGCTTCTCGTTGCAGGTCTCGGCCCATGTTCGACAGCGCTTGGCCCAGTCCAGCAGCAATTCCAGTCGATGGTGGTGGGACAGTGCCAGCCGCAGCCGCCGCCTCACGTTCACTCTTGAGAACAATCTCGTTGCTCGCAATCTCATCGTAAATGGCCAGCAGGTACTCGTCCGGCAAGTCAGCATTGTCGTTGATGCCGCGGTTGTTCTTGATGAATTCCTCCTTGCTCATGCGTTTGGCGATTTTGCTGCTGTGCAAATCGGTGTTGAGCATGATGACAGAGTAAGCAAGAACATAGGCCGTGTCGGCGTTAGCAAATGCATTCGGGTTGCCCATCACGTAGCGCTCAGCAAACTTCAACATGTAACGATCGATCTTTTGCGCCTCTCCGGGGAGTCGGAAGGACTGGAGGAATGTCCGCAGCGCATCGACGAATCTCTTCTTGGTGAAATCCATGGCATCGACAAAAGCGTGCATGGTCTCGATGTTCTTAGGGTCGCCTTCTCCCAGGTATTCGCCAATCTGCGCCTTGTCTAGACGCTCTTCGGTAAGTAGGAACTTGGCGACATCTTGCGGGCTGTCGCTCGGAATGAAGCCGTTTTCGATCAGCAGCTTGATGCCCCTCTTGGGTTTGAAGTTGAACTGCTTAATGGCATTGTTCATGGCCGTCTTCCTCGCCTTGGCCTTCTCCAGCGACGCCGGATCGTCCTCCATGACGGGCGTCGAGGGCGCAGGGGTTTCGAAGCGGGACGGATTGTCGTACATGCTCGGATCAATCGAAGGACGTAGATCTTCGGAAGTTCTCGTTTCGCCATCTGGCCTCACGCCGTTGGTGTCTTGCCGCACAGCGGCGGACCAATCTACCATTGACCTCAGGGAATCCACCAAGGCGTCCAGAGCCACCCGCTTCATAACGTACTCTTTGGGAATCTCATTCTCGGGTTCGGTATGAGGCGTGATTTGTGCGACGGAAAGGGGCGGTGGTAGGATGGCTCTTAGCTGCCATTCGCCTGCTGACGTGCTCTTTGCGCTTCGTTCCTCGTATTGCTGCTCTTGAACGGGCGTTACAGGAACTGACGCTGTTGAAAACTTGGACAAGTCCTCGATAATGGTCTGGAAAATGTTGTCGACACTGCGCTCGCAGTCGTAGTTGAGATACGTCTCCACCAAGGCCTTCGAATCCGCGCAAAACCTGTTCAAGATGTTGACGACGTACACCTTTTGAGAGATGGGAGCTGTCCGCCGTGCCAATAGGGCGAGATAGATTTCGTTGAGGAATACTGCAATTTCCAGCTTGGAGGCATGTTAGCACCATGACAAGGAGCACGGAGAGAATCTGAGCACCAACCTTGAAGGACTCTCTCATATACTTGAGCATCAACCAGAAAATCTCGCAGCAGACATCGAACACGCGGTCAACGGAGCTGGCACCGTTGCGCGTTATGCTGAGACACAAATAGAACTTGACTGCTTGAAGAAAGGTCGTGGGCTCGTTGCTTTTGGAGTTCGTAATGGTACATAGAGGAGAAGTGAAGACGGCAATGTTGTTGTTAAGGAGGGTGTGAATAAGGTGAAGCGAGATGAGCTTCGAGCGCATAGGCTGGCCGCGAAAGTCGTAGAGCTGATCAGGGGGCAGCACTTTGGTGGAAAGGTTGCAAAAGGATCGGAAGACTAAGTAGGCGTCCTTGATGTACACCTCGTCTTCGGCGTCGAGGGCTTCGGGGCTATCTTCAAGGGACGACTCGGGGGTGGACTGCTCGGATACGGATCGGGCTGCTTTCCTTCCTGGCTTGATCTCTGTCACCATAGTCGGGCCGTCGCCCAAGTGTGAATCGTCGAAGCTCTTGCGGTGCTCCAAATCCTTGAGTGTGAGCTTCCCATTGCCATTCTCTTCGCTTTCGGCCGGGGTCTTTTCGGTTTCGGAAATAGGGACTGTTGTGGAATCCTCCTCTTGCTCCCCGTTTGCCTCTTCATCTTTTTCTTCGGCGAGGGCGGTGCCATTGATAGAACCGCCCTGCTCAAAGGTGACATTGCTCGAGCTGTGTTTCAACTTTTCGAGGTTCACTCGGGCCTCCTTCATGTGCAATCTTGTCTTTACGCGCTCGAAGACGGTGCCAACCATTTGCGTGAGCGTTCCCTGCGCCATTTGCTGGTTCGCAGTGCTCCTCGACAGGAGGAAAACATTATAGACTTGGCGGACGGCCTTGAGCAGACCGGCACCGTGGACGACAATCTTGTCGTTCAAGACAGCGGCCAAGAGCGATTTGACAATTTGGAGCTGGACCTCGACGCCGGTGGTCTCTCCCTGGAAGCAATCGCAAATGGTATCGATTGCTCGCTCGATGAGGGGGGCTCTGTCGGCGGGAGCATCTTGGTGGCCGTCTGCTGTGGTCGGCAAGCTGAAGTAGGAATATGATATGAGCTTTCCGATGCAATCGAGGGCGCCGGTGACTAGTTGGACATTGCCGGTGCGCGTTGCCAGCTGCAACGGGGCAAAGACTATTTCGGGGTCCGGGAAATTCGGATCGCTCTCCTTGATGGCAGTGAGGGTCTTTTGGAGGGATTCGGTGAGCTGCTTGTTCCTCTGGGCCTCTTTGGAAGCGGCAATGGCCTCCAGAGAGGAGAGGAGGAATTTGAGGGAGCTCATGGGGGAGCACTGGAGACACCAAGTGCCATTCGCGAGTCGAGGGACGGTTCGTGATCAGGAGAGGTTTCCGTTTCGAGAGACAGTCGAGACGCCGATCTAGAAGTGTTGCAGTAGCAAAGGCAATGGCAAGGTATGTAGGTAAGCTGGGCCGGGCATCGAGGGGCGCATGCGCATATGCAGGGCGACGTGGAGAGGACGGCAACGCAAGGGGTGGGCCCCAGGTTGATGTCTATTAGTTTGGTGGTGTATCCGGCGTCTTCGGAGACGGCAGCATCGAAGCTCGGGGGTTCTGGCAGAAGAGGATGGTACCAGTGCGGTCGGTAGTAGGTATTGCTGACCGTGGTGGTGATGGCGTTGATGGAGATGGGTTCCGAGGTTGGTGGTGATGGAGTGGTCGCCCCAGCTTCTCGAGAAATGCAATACGAAGCAACACCGCTATGCTGTACTGTATCCGTAGTCTGTTAGTCCTCGCGAATTGGACAGCACAGGTAAAAGGCCGTAGGATGGAGATGGCAATGACGGTCCAAATTTCTTTGAATGGAGGGACCCCTGGCTCTGTCCCACGCTTAGCTTGGGGAATGGGACCTGGCACTTGGAGCTACCTGAGTTCATGTGCTGGTCTTGACGGCTTGCACTGTGAGCTCTTGGTGTACAGTAGAGCTGCTCGTAGGGTGAGGAAACGCTGGGCTACGTTCGAACACTGTGTAATGTGTGAATGGTGGCACTGTAATCCGAGGTGGCCCTGGTCGATTTAATGTAGCTGCTGCATGGAGCGTTCTTTTTTTTTTATCAGGAGGACTCCAGCAGCACAGCAAGAAGACGGAGCCATCTGGTTTACGTGGCGGACTGAGCAAGGCGTGCGTGCACCAGGGAGCGGCCACCTCTTCATTGTTTAATTGCCTTATGTCAGCAATTGGAGATGTGGCACGGACATCTTAGACCAGGCAGAAGTGGAGCTTGGAAGCTGAGGTAAGCAAAGTGCATCCGTGTTCTTTTGGACTTCTCTTTTTGGTTTTTGTCTCAAGGAATGGAAGGAAGGTCGACTGAAGATGAGGTGTTATCGTCGCGTCTGTTATCCGAGTCTTATCTGCAGTGTTATCAGCTGTGTCACGTGGGGCTGCGCTTACCTGCGGCCAATGACCCAATGAATGGAGCACAATCACCGTAGGCCCGCACTGCTCTCAACATTGTCTGTTCTCATTGGACACGGCCTCTCTTGCAGCATGGAAGTATGTACTTCGTACTCCGTCAGGTCCCTTGTTTTCCCGGGCTATTTCCACTCCTCCATCTCAAGTCCGAAAAGTTCCTCAGGCGTCTCGGTCTTAATCAAGGCCGCCCAGCGAGCAGAGCGATCGCGGACCCTGTTGGCCCTGGCTCATTGGCGTTAAGCACCGGCCACAATTATCGGCGAAACTTACAGAGCGCTACCTACACAGTATTGTCCACTGGACCACTGTTGTCCAGGCCTCGCCCAGTGCCCTTCAGTGAGCCAACGTGCGCCTAACGGCCGTCCCTCCCTGCGGCGTATTTTGTAGGGACGCGCTAGCTCCCGATTCGGCCTAGCGCCCCAAGCTCCATCCAGCGACGGAGCTCAACGCAAAAAACTCCAGCCCCAAGGAAAGATTCCCGTCCGACAATCTCGAGCATCAACCTCGCCGTCCCAGAATAATCCCGCGTCGTCTTTCTCCCTCTCCCTCTTCCCCCCCCCTTCTCTTCGTCTCGCGCAATCTCGTCATTCAATTGCCCCGTAGGCTTCATTTGTTCGACGTCGACGGTCCTTTCTTTCTCTGAAAAAGGATCATCATCTTGAATCGTCGCCTCCCCCCCGAGCCCGGTCCGCCGTCCAACCATCGCCAAATTTCTCCCTGCTTTCGCGCCGCCCGCGAGAGCTATTTATTCACCATGATCTCTTCAGTCCTGAGACGGACTGTTCGTCAGAACACCCTCCTCCGCACCAACCTCTCTTCCCAGATCCTGAGATGTTACGCCTCCTACCCCCCGCACACCGTCATCAAGATGCCCGCTCTGTCGCCCACCATGACGGCGGGAAATATCGGATCTTGGCAGAAGAAGGCCGGTGACAGCATCGCCCCTGGTGATGTCTTGGTCGAGATCGAGACCGACAAGGCCCAGATGGACTTTGAGTTCCAGGAGGAGGGTGTTATCGCCAAGCTTCTGAAGGAGTCCGGTGAGAAGGATATCCCCGTCGGTAACGTACGTCCACCCCGATACCCAGTTCCAAATTCCCCTCGTCGAGTCCGGTCGGGCGCATTTCGCCATTATGCTCATCAACATCATAAACACCCTCATGATGTACGCGCAAACTGACACTCCCCTCACAGCCCATTGCCGTCCTCGTCGAGGAGGGCACCGATGTCAGCGCCTTCGAGGGCTTCTCCGCCGCCGACGCCGGTGGTGAGTCCAAGCCCGCCCCCAAGGAGCAGCCCAAGAAGGAGTCCGAGTCCAAGCCTGCCCCTACCCCCGAGCCCGAGAACTCCTCCGACGACTTCAACAAGCCCGCCGGCAAGCTCGAGAACGCTATCGAGCGTGAGCCCAACGCCTCCTTCACCGCTGTCCGCCTCGCCAAGGAGAAGGGCATCAACATCCGCGACGTCAAGGGATCCGGCAAGGGCGGTAAGATTACCGAGGAGGATGTCAAGAAGGCTGTCTCTTCCCCGGTTGTCGCTGCTCCCGGCGCTTCCTACGAGGACGTCCCCATCAGCGGCATGCGCAAGACCATTGCCTCCCGCCTCGTCGAGTCTACCCAGACCAACCCCCACTTCTTCGTCTCCTCCAGCATCTCCGTCAGCAAGCTCCTCAAGCTTCGCCAGGCCCTCAACGCCTCCTCTGACGGCAAGTACAAGCTGTCGGTCAACGACTTCCTCATCAAGGCCATCGGTGTCGCCTCCAAGAAGGTTCCCCAGGCCAACTCCAGCTGGCTCGGCGATGTCATCCGCCAGCACAACACTGTCGACGTTTCCGTCGCCGTTTCCACCCCCACTGGCCTCATCACTCCCATCGTCACCGGTGTCGAGGCCCGCGGTCTCGAGGGTATCTCCTCCGAGGTCAAGAAGCTCGCCAAGCTCGCCCGCGACGGCAAGCTCAAGCCTGAGCAGTACCAGGGCGGCTCCATCTCCATCTCCAACATGGGCATGAACGACGCCGTCGACAGCTTCACTGCCATCATCAACCCCCCTCAGTCCACCATCCTCGCCATCGGCACCACCAAGAAGGTCGCTGTCCCCGCTCTGTCCGAGGACGGCACCACCGGCGTCGAGTTTGATGACCAGATCACCATCACCGGCAGCTTCGACCACAAGGTCGTTGACGGTGCCGTTGGTGCCGAGTTCCTCAAGGAGCTCAAGAAGGTCCTCGAGAACCCCCTCGAGCTCCTTTTGTAAGCAAAATCTGCTGTCGTTGTTGTTGACGTTGCGTTGCGCGTGCGGAGGCAAAAAAGAGGCATGATGTGAAAGTTTCGAAGAGGCGTATCCGGCGTGAGAGAATTATAGACAATCCAGGCCGATGGATATGACCTGTGGCTTTTTTGCCAAAGGGAGGAAGCGGAGGGCAGTGAAAGATGGGCCGAAAGCATACACCATCTGCTCGGCGGCGAACAAGGAACGAACCCCCCCTACCACAACCTACTTCCCGTGTACAATGATCTCCTGAACTAATGCTGCATCTCGGGTGCGGAAGAGGTTTCTGTCTTGTACATTTGGTCTCCTATTCCCATTTTACCTAGAAATCCAAGCAGTTACCGTTGAAAAGCTGGAATCGCCTATATTGTGCTATCTATTTGCGTGTGCGCATGTGTAAAACCAGCCAAATAGCCAGGATCGCGGCTTTTGGCGCGCTAACTCGAACTGGTTCAAGATCGGATGAACACATCAACACCTGGTCGTAAAAGGCCCCCCGGTGTGTCAGGTAACAGCCAAAAACGCGTATTAGATTCAGAGATACTACATAGCATGTATCGAGACAACGTTATTTGCTACTCAGGTGCTTTCAAAAAATGTCTGGATTCTGTATCGCTTACTATGGCGGCATGGTCTCGAACATTGATGGAAGCCTTCGCAGCTTGTAGAGGCTCGCTTAGTCACTATGTGGGAAAGGAAAGAGAAGATGGTGAAGCCCGATCTTGATCTAAGACTGATAGCTTTCTCTAAAAGTCGCGATAACTTGTTTTTCTCCTGTTGTTCACGTACTCAGATGCTTGTTCAGATGTTTGGGTCAATTCTTCATTTAAGTGAATCAAAACTTCTCTAGCCTTTCGGTTGGATGTGATTCCAATTATCCAGCAAGCTTCCGGTCCTAATGATGCAAAAAATGCCCCTACCTCTTGTAAAAAACACGACGATGGAATCTTTCTACCTTGTCTTATCAAAGACCTTACTTGGAGGATTATGGAGATAGGAACTTTGTTGACTTTCATAGAGCATAATCATTATTAGGGAGGAGCCTTTACTTTACCTTTACCTATGCGGCCAGACTTTCAAGCCGGCATTGAAGTGATAACCCGTGGAGTGCTCAAGAACGTGGGAATGAACAGAACGAGTGGATTTGATATAGGTTCTAGAGATGGTACGGCTCGATATGAAACAAAACCCAAGTATTTGTTCGGTACTTCCACTTCATGATTGCCACATGTGCACGTCCTTATTCCGTCCTTCACCAGATAGGAAATGAAAGACAAAGGGTTGTGTCAACCAGGAAACCAAAAGGAAACCAAAAGGAAACTGCGCAATTTCCGAGCTTGGGAGAATGGCCCGTAACTTTGACGACTTACTCTTTTTCTTGTCCGTAACAAAGAAGAACGTCATTGCTTCTCATGCCCAGAGCAAGCCGCCAAGGACGACATTGACTAGAGCCTCGTCTTTGAAGCTTCCCCTACATACATCTCGGCAGGAAGGCTGAAAGAAAAGCGCGCTTGTCGATTCTATGACCAACCTCATTGCTTGTACCCTTCACTTCCAATGTCGGCTTGACCCCCTCAGACTCAGTTATGCAGTAGTCTGGACTGGCAAGTGCAGCCACAACTCCGCCGTCCTTGAGTACGAGTTGAACAAGAGTGACAACCGCTTGCAGATTCGCCGGATACAAGGCCCCTCGCGTGAAGTTGCCTGGCGTTCTCAAAGGCTTCGGGGCTTTGTTCTTGATTTCAGCTGGTAGTTTGTCGCAGAGATCGTTGTACAGGTTGCAAGGCATTTCCTCCTCCCTTGCCCGATCGTTCGGAGATAGCATCATCCTCCTCTTCATCTCCTTTTGAACAGCACCCATGACATCGAGCAAGATGCTAGAGTCCCGTGTCGCGCCCTCTCCCCGCCTGTGAATCTCTGCCGCAAGAATCAAGGTGTTCTTAGCCGTTGCGAGCTGTTCCAGCTGTTCCTTTGGTGCACCGCGTGCTTCTGCAACGCTAATTAACCTCTCGACGTATTTGATGAGGCCTAACCCCCTGTTGAACATTGCTCTCCTCGTGAGCTGCTCACTCAGATCGGCTAACTCAATGAGATCATCTCGCAACTCTGTTTGGAGCTTAAGGTAGGTTTCTATGGCCTTGAGAAGGGCTCCCTCAAGGGAATTGTTGTTCGAGTTCCAGCGTTTGATGAGTTCCTCTGGCACAAGCCACTGACTGCGCTCCTCAATGACGATCATGTATCGAGTGTTTTTGTGTTTGTTCCAGCTGCAATGTTTCTTGCAAACAGTACAATTGCCATAGTTCATGGCAGCACAGAAGTATTTAGATACGTCATCGCTTAAGCGGCATACTTCATGGCAGGTGAAGTTGCACTCAAGGCACAAAGTGGTGGCTAGGCCTGCGGGAAGGTCTTTCTGCACCGCCACGTCATGTGTGATCTTGACTTTCTGGCCGGGAGCCGCACCAACGGCGTTGGCGAGTGCTCCCATATTTGCAATCAAGTTCTGGGCCTCAGTTGCCGTGCGAAGAATTTTCTTTTCTGCAAGTTGGCACTTTTGCTCCAGTAGGATTCGATCTTTCGTCACCTGGGCGCTGTTGATCGTAGGAATTGGCGTCATGGAATGGAGCATTTGCATGACCTGGAACTGTCCTCTGACGCACTGAATCCAGCCGTCACGAAAGACATCACTCTGGACGCCTGTTGGATTGATGCTGAATGCGCTGTTATTGACGGCGATCTCTCCATTCTCGATGGGCCATTCCAGCTTTCTCAAGGTCGCGCGAGCGAGGGGCTCACCGGCGTCACTAAAGGTGTAGATGGTTCTGAGACACGATTTGACGTCTTTGGCGAAGAGGGAGAACACATACGTCGCCACGGGCTCAAGGATTGTGGTGCGTGTCTCGTTGGCGCGGCAAGTGAAGATGATGGCGTTGACATGTGTGACCGTTTTGAAGAATTCTGACATGGCAGCGGTCACAAAGGCGTCGCGTGCCACCCCTCTGGTGTCACCGTAGCCAGGAGTGTCGACCACGAGAATCGTTCTGCCATAGAATAGATGATTGAGTGGTCGGATCCTGTAACAGTTGACAATCTGTGTCACCGATTCGACCTGATTGGCACCACGATCATCGACAACCAGTATGCGGGCCTCATCATCTATTTCACCACCGAAGAGAAACGAGATAAATGCATTGATCTGGGTGCTCTTTCCGTGACCGCTAGTACCAGCAAAGACGACAACCAAAGTGTCATCCATATTAGTGATATCGGATGCTTGTATCTCGGGTTTGAATTGAGGCGCGACATCCATGATGCGGACAACAACTTCGCCTCCAAATCTCCGGTCTGAGGTCGTCCGCGAAGCCACTTCCTTGAGACCCGGAAATAGTGTTGCTTTGCGACCAGACTGATCAAGGCCCCATGGTGTCAAAATAGAGCCGGGTGTCCTTTTAGATAGCGAAGCCCTGTTCTTGGCGAAGAACGCAACCATCTCCGAAGCCACGGACGGCAACTTGGCTGTGCGGCCCACAGCAGGTATGCTCCATTCTGAAGGTCCGATGAGTGTTTGGACGCTGATGGCTATACTGTGGTCGCAGTCGTCCGGCAAGTCCTCAAGTAGTACTGTACTCGTGGAAGCTGAATACTTCACTTCCGTCACTTTCTCATTCTCGCCTGCCCGGGGGAAAGCTCCATCTTTCTGAGTATTCTTCTGACGGCGGTATTGCAAGATGAAGCCCGTGATTGGGAAGGCCGATCTTTCTCGCTCTTCTCGCTCTTCTGGCTCTCGATCCCAAGAGACGGTGATGCTCTGGCCGAGCACGGTGAGTCGAGGGCTGGCAGGTGCCTTGGGGAGCAGACCTGTGACGATGAGATTCTTGGTGGGGCTGTGAGGGCTGTCCAAGAGAATATCTCCCATGCTGGTTTTAACCCTCTTCGCTTCCACAACTCCGGGACGATAAGCTTTCTGTATGAAAGCGATCCCAAATTCGACGGCATCCCCTGATAGCAGCCGTTGTTGACGAAGAGTTGCGCAAGACTGCCTGACGTTGGAGACAATTTGTTCGTTTTCGAACCATTCTTCTTCTGCGTCATCATCAGAGTCGTCGTCCGATGTGCCGACGCAGTCTCCTGTATCACCGGGTGCCTTCAAAAGGGCCTCTTGTAGTGGATGGGTCGAGGCTCCGACGAAACGATCGCTCAAGGACAAAAACAGCCTCGGTTTCTCTACGTCGACCATCGACTTGTGTTGCAGTCCGCCGGCGGCGCCGAGGTGGTTGACAAACTTGTCCGTAACAAGCGCCGCGACAGTCCCATTAAGAACAAAAGCTTCACTCTCCTTTCGCTTGATAAATCTCTCAGCGATGGCGATACGCTGCTCAAAGAGAGTGACGGTTGAGTGAAGTTCAGAGATCTTCTCATTTTTATCACTCCTGATATCCCGCAACTCAGGTAGCAATTGACGTGCATCAATCGTGAAGCTGGTTCGAGATTCGGCGAATATGGCTTGGAAATTGGATATCTGGCGTCCAATGTCAAGGAAGTGTCTTTGGAATACCTCGAGCTGAGCGAGGTCTTGCAGCTTAAGGGTGGTTGTCAATCCCGCATGGAGCGTCTTTGCTGTCTTATCGACCAGTTGAGAGTCAAGAGCCCGTACGAGGCACTTCACCTTGTTGTTGATAGTAGATAGTGGTAAGAGCTTGTAAGAGAGAGTGTTCATCTGTTGCGCTAGTTTATCGGGCATTTCTGCTGTAACGCGCCGGGCATCGTCAAGGTTAGATACACTTTCGGCGAAAGCGCCACTGTATGAGATCCTGACGTTTTCGAACTTCTCGTCCTTCTGTTTTGAGAATTCCACCGTGGCAGACCCATTGACGGGAATATTTGCAACGCCAGCTCTGAGCTCGCTCGTGACCTTCCTGGCCTCGTCGGCAGTGGAGCAGGACTGAACATAGCTGAGGGTAGCGCTGCCACCTTCGACCACCTCG